TCCACTCACCTCTCGTCCTTTGCCTGTGATGAGAGCGGCCAGAGGTTTGGCGTAGAACCGTGAGAATGTGAAGCCCAGACATCCATACATACTGTTGGCTGTTAACTTGAGAGCCTTCTGACGGATATCATACTGGAAAAGGCAAACACATCTTATACAATAACTTAGTTAATTACTAGTAGAGTCATCCTCAATATCCAGGGGTTACGCTCACTATCACTCTCTGCACCCCTGGAATATGTCATAGCAAATTTGAAGGTTCAGTGTGCGCCACCTTGTTGATGACTTGAGCAGACTAGTTCGATCCTTTGATGAACATCAAAAGAATCTTGCGGTCACGTAATGGTAGAACTTACTGTCTTTGAAATCGGACATCGCTCCTCTGTAATCTTCAAAGGACAGGTATCAGCCTAGTGATTGGTCAGAGTTTTTTTACCCGACACCAATCAAATAGCTAGCAACCTGCCTCCAATTTTGCTACGACATATTCCAGGAGAGAGCGAAAGTGAATGTAACCCCTTGATCCTGAGGATGAGGTAGAGTTTGCAATGGTCATCAACATTTTACCTTAGGGAATTTCTAGCCCCGCCCCACAATGGCGATGGATTTTATAAATGTGTTCGATTTTGACTATTAAGGGTCTACTAGACAGAAATCATGAACTGTACAAATTTTGAGTAGATTTGACCCAAAGGAAGTTATTTTAAGTAAACAGAGGTGGGACAGACGGACAGACAAACTGATGATGGTTGTAACAGTATCTCCTACAATCTAAATAAGGGGACACAAATGGCAACTGATTTATTTAATAGACCTTTACTCACGACAAATTTGTCATGTTCTCTCACTGTGATATTATCTTAGGTTTGTGTAATGTTAATACATTTATGAGAGTCCTACTGTTCATTTAACTATGATACTCTCTTACCTGTGTGTATTGCTCGTGAGAAATGTCGCCTTTCATCATCTGTTTCACCTGTCGTCTGCTCTCCACTAACTTGCGAATTTCTGTTGGCAGGATACCAGGTTCTAGATCTGGTTCTGGTAACTCTGAAAACATATCCTCCTCTCCTTTCTGAAAACAAAGAACAGGGTTTAATTGTATCGTAAACAGAGTACACAAACCCACACCCACATCATTGTGGGAGTTATATTGATAGTACAATTTGATTTATCTTTGAAATCTTTGTGATAGGGATGGAAATGGAACTTACTCACTTCTGCTAACAATAATCCCTATCCATTGTTAGATTTCCTGCCCAGGGATAATCCTGGAGGGGGACATGGGGCCATTGACCCTTCAAAAGTGAAATTGACCCCTCCATGTTCCAACTTTCTTTGATTTTACATAGAATGGCCCCTCTTAATTTTGATATTGACTAAAAATTGCTGAAATTGCCCAGTGCTTTCAAATTCCAGGATTTTCCCTGCCTGCCTATTTCTTCTTTGTACATTAATTATTCAATTATATTAAGGTACTCCTAAAAAAGTTTGAAAGTCTGGGTTGAGATAGATGTTTTCCTCGAAAAACTCGCAATAAATTTGGCAGGAGAAACTCATGGTTTTTAATACACAGGCCTTTACAGACATACATGCAGATGAATAGTCTCACTCTGTTTGGCACAATAACAATTGACAAAGGAATTTGAGAAAAAATGAGATAGCAACTTATTCAATCACTACACCTAATATTTGCATTACTTAAAGCATTCATATGGATTTATTAGGGGGTTTTGGGAAACTGACCCTGGAATGAAATTGGGAAAAAACCATTTGACAAATTAGTCTTTTTGGGAAATCTTGATAATCATTATACCAACTCTTAACACATGAAATTAGATTGTTTAACTTTTATTTAAGCCTGTCTTTATGACAACAGGATCCTTCTGTCCTTTCTACATATGCTTCATTTTGAGAACTCAGTCGATCCAGAGGAATTTATTTAAATTTATGCATTTATTTATTTTAGATTTCCCTATTGGGAATTTTAAAGGGGTAAATTGGGAAAAATCAGAGACTTTTTCAATTGGGAATGTGTCCTTTAACCCTCTCACCACTGTAGACTATAATGGACTCATCCAGATATGTGCATGGTAGAGTCTACTCAAGTTACATAGGGATGAAAGGGTTAAACAGACCTAAAAAGTACTCTGATAAACCCCTGATTTACTTTGAAGTCCCTTTATTTTGATTGTTTCCCAGATCAATCTAAGATAGTAAATTAATCTTGAAAGATGTACTTACAGTTTTCTGTTTTTCCCCTTCTGTGCGTTTCACGGTTGTGAAACAGATGTTAAACTCCTGAATGATGGATGGGTACAAACTGTTGAAGTCCAGTAGCAGGATATACTTATCATAGAAACCTACAACCAAAATGATACAAGGTCATCTGAGACAAGTATTTTACACACATGAAGGAATTTATAAAACAAGGGGCCAGATCATATCCATGATCATCCCCTGTGGTCTTCATAGACAAGTGATCCGTATATATATTTATCACATAATGTACTGTGTTATCCAGTGAATATACCAATGTCGTATTTTTTTGCGTATTAGCCCATGTAATATGACCTATTAGTCCTGTGTTTGGTTGTGAGTTTCAATTGTTTCAATTGTGACGTCACGCCTAGGACAAGTACATGACGTCAGACTTGCGCATTGGAGGTTTCATTTCAAGGTTGCATGAAAATGGTCATTTTACACGAATAAATGCCACAAATCTTGATTATGTAATAACAAGAGTACCGCGGGGCGGAACAATAAACGCCCATCGAATGCCATATAGTATTATATACTTTCTTATATTGAAATAAGATCTGCATCATTCAAAGAGTGGTTAGCTGACATGCTATAAAAATGTAGGAGAAAATCTCTGGACAAAAAATCAAATACTGAAATGAACAAAGGGCAATTACTTTTGAAAAAATCGTATCATGACGATAATGAATACCAAGTTTTAAAGAGATCCGTTGAAAAATGTAGGAGAAGATTGCCGGACAAAAATCAAATACTGAAATAAACAAAGGGCAATAACATTTAGAAAAATTGTTGAATCAAAATTCTTTTAAGGGAGACACAACTTCATATCATGATTATAATGTATATCAAGTTTCAAAGATTTCAGTTGAAAAATGTAGGAGGAGATTGCTGGACAAACAAAAGTTTACGCNCGTATCATGACGATAATGAATACCAAGTTTTAAAGAGATCCGTTGAAAAATGTAGGAGAAGATTGCCGGACAAAAATCAAATACTGAAATAAACAAAGGGCAATAACATTTAGAAAAATTGTTGAATCAAAATTCTTTTAAGGGAGACACAACTTCATATCATGATTATAATGTATATCAAGTTTCAAAGATTTCAGTTGAAAAATGTAGGAGGAGATTGCTGGACAAACAAAAGTTTACGCCGGACGGACAAACCCATACCATAATACTCTTGTCAAATTTGACGGGTGTATAAAAGGTATCTTACATTTGTTTTCATTTCACATGAAATATTTGAAACGTCACAAATTTTTCATTTTAGCTTCCCAGAGGCTCACTAAATTGAAAAATACTTAAGATTCGTTTCATAAATCTCATATGAAACGGAAACTCATGCAAGATCCTATAAATATACAAATATTTACATGAATTTCCAATTAAAGAAGAAATGTGTTGCAGCAACATCACATACAAAGTTAATCAAACTGAACCTCTTTTTGTCAAATAAAGTTGCTGCAATATTGACATTTTAAGGTCTATCCACAAGAATGACAAGTACCTAAACAGCCACTGGCTAACTGATCAGGTGACAAAGACGTAACCATTTATAGCCTACCTCGCTTGGGTTCCAGCACCAAACCTCCAGCATAGGCAGGTTTTCGTCTTCCTTTTGTCGGAGCCTTCACGTCACCATCTTCATCCTCCGCAGATACCTGTCAGTAAAATACATAGCATGTTAACACTTAAGATCACCAGGCATATAAACATACTATATAACACGGAACGAGATCAAATTTGTTTGCAGCTTGAGAGAACCCATTAGTGTATGCTGCCCAATAATGAATTCTATAGGCTGTTTAATATGAAACATTCACATATTTGCAAACTTTTTGAAATTTCCATGGGAGAGATTACTCGTGCTTGGAATTAAAACAAAAGTGTGTGCAAATACCTCCTTGGGGGGAAAATAACACTTTTAAATGGCATCTTTTGAGCTGTTCTATAGTTTCAATTCTTAGAAATTCTTGATATTGTTTATCCTACACCAATACTCACAGAAGTAGCCTTTTTCTTGTATTCTTTATCAGGAACAATGAAGTTTTTTTCTGTGAAAGCATGTAGCAGTAGATACTCGTTTCTCTCCGATCGTCCGCCCATCAAAGTCCTTGTCTAAACAAATAAAACATGTAACTACATCATACAATGCATTAACTGATGTTTAATACCAGGACCTGAATGGTGCAGTCGACATGCATCACTTTCGTCTATTTCATGAACATGTTAGCAATGAAAATGATGATTGTAATGTAAAATATGAAGTACAGTTTTAAGGGATTTCCTACAAGTTTTTTACATGCTAATAAGGAATTTCCCCTCAGATGTCCTGTAATATGCTGTAAAACAGGAAATGCTTAACCCCATTTGATGTTGCTCTTTTCACCTTTAATAAGAGGGCAGTAACAAAACAACAAAACAGCAATTTCAACTTTGGTCAAAATTTGTTTGTAACGCCACATAACAAACATTTGGCACAGCCAAAATAGCAGCGTAGCATCCCTGTTTCATGTCCCTGTTTCATGTAAGCCGTCCAATCCATAAGTTCAAGATTCTAACAGAACTATCCATTGTATAGTAAAAATATTTCCTTCTTTAAATTGCCACGTCAGGGTTTCCAGACACATACCATCACATTGCCACAGATGTTTGTGATTTGTAAGGCCAGAGGCAGGACGTTCAGTTCGTACATTATACGCAGAATTAGTGTGGAGTCCACTAGCGTCATTTCAACCAGCTGCAGTAACTGTTTCGCAGACCTGGAATTAAAGGAGTTCATAATACAAAGCAGCTGCAATGAAGGAAATTAATATCTAGAACTGTAAGCCAAAGCTGATTCGAGTATACCCCCCTAACTTTGTTGCAGGGGTATAATAATGAATACCTCTTAATGAAGTATAGGTAATGTTTTGTAACTTCAAAACATTTTTGTTAACTTTTTTTATATTATAGGCCCAAGAAAATACGGATTAAATTTGTTGTTGTCTACATTCTAATTTTTAGCTGGTTAGGTTTCGAGTCCTTATTATTGTTTCCTGTCCACTATTAGAATCCTCCTGTGTGCTTACTTAGATCACATGTAACAAGGCAAACTATTGGAAACAATCCATAGTCCTAAATTTCTGGACAGACTCCAGTTTGAAAAATGAAGGAAGGGATGTAACTCTATATTTGGAGGCAGCAAATCAGGCATTTGTAAGTTACTGAGTATTTGAGGCATGTCCTGTACTAAGTAACACAAGGACGGAATGTAACCTACAGTCCTCTCGCCTAGTAATGGCTGGGGACTTATAAACATACATAGTAATGGCTGGGGACTTGTAAACATACATAGTAATGGCTGGGGACTTGTAAACATACATAGTAATGGCTGGGGACTTATAAACATACATGGTAATGGCTGAGACTTACAAACATACATAGTAATGACTGAGGACTAATAAACATACATAGTAATGGCTGGGGACTTATAAACATACATAGTAATGACTGGGGACTAATATACATACATAGTAATGGCTGAGGACTTATAAACATACATAGTAATGGCTGGGGACTTGTAAACATACATAGTAATGGCTGGGGACTTGTAAACATACATAGTAATGGCTGGGGACTTATAAACATACATGGTAATGGCTGAGACTTACAAACATACATAGTAATGACTGAGGACTAATAAACATACATAGTAATGGCTGGGGACTTATAAACATACATAGTAATGACTGGGGACTAATATACATACATAGTAATGGCTGAGGACTTATAAACATACATAGTAATGGCTGGGGACTTGTAAACATACATAGTAATGGCTAGGGACTTATAAACATACATAGTAATGGCTGGGGACTTGTAAACATACAGAGAAATGGCTAGGGACTTATAAACATACATAGTAATGGCTGGGGACTTATAAAACATACATAGTAATGGCTGGGGACTTGTAAACATACATAGCAACACAAGGACGGAATGTACCCTACGGTCCTCTCGCCTAGTAATGGCTGGGGACTTGTAAACATACATATGTCATTTACCATACATGTTTATAACAATTAACAATATTTGTACTTTCACTTACTGGTACATGTTTCTGACTTGTTCATAGTCAAGCTCGAAGCGTTTCTGTTTGAGTATAACATTAGCGAGCTCGGTGAGGTCGTAGCTTCGACTGCGGATGAGCTCGCGGGAAGAGATCTTGACGTCACACAGCAGGCGACCGCAGGTGATGTACTTATCTGTGAACCCGGCACGCACTCCTGCATGACCCTGGAGACATGGATAAACTGAATAGACATTTGGATATGAAAACTTTTTAATACTCCCATTCATAATGTAAAGTAACTTTTTAACACTTCTGCTTTCTGACAATAAATAGACTGTAGAACTACAATCAGTTTGTTTGGAAGTTATGACACACCTATTGTTGACTGGGTTTGTAAACTGATGTTTTATCGGACCCTCAGAGCGTCTGGTATTCTGGCCCAACTATGGTAAGGAGCCAGTTTGTACCAAGATGAATCTATTTAGGAGCCATGCCTATTAAAATATAGCTTTGTTGAGGCTTCTTCCAGCAAGTGATCCAGATGGAAGACTAATCCCTGGTACAAAGTGATTTTATAGGAAGTGGTTTGTGGGATCACTTAGTCATGGTAAGGTACGTACCGAGAGTTTGGGCATTTTTGTTCTCTTGAGACGCCCTAGTTTGGACCAGTGAGGAATCTTGTTGGCGCTGATTCTGTGGAGCAACACATCCAGGTCAAACCCATAGATATCATGGCCCTGAAATTGTACAAAGTAGTATACCTGTAGTCTTGAACTACTACATCAGAGCTCCTATCGTCTAGTATTTTAATGATTATAGACAATAACACAGCATTGATTTGATATGTCCACCTAATAGGATCAATTACAGTTTGTCATAATTAACAGTGAGGGTAAACCTCATAATCATGTCTATCTTTCATAAATAAAAGATTTTCAAAGTTAAGCCATCATTCATGATCTAGTAAAGTTACAAGAAAATAACAGTTGATTTTCAATGCTACACATAAAACACATTAATTAATTGACAGATTTCCGATAGAAGTGATTTAAGTTTGTTATCAGACACTACTACTGTATTTCATAATCTGGCCTGTAATATACCTTACCACAACAACATCTGGGTCAATCTTGTGAATTTTGGCTAACATGAAGCCTAAGAGAGCTCTCTCATTTTGGAAAGTTTCCATTTTCATATTGCAGCTCTGCAATAAATAAAAAGTTCCTTTTACAGCTGGAGACACTCTACAATCCTGATACACTCACTTTTCTTCAAAAACATTTTATATTTGGTGTAAGGCTCTTAAAACAGTGTACAAACTTCCCCTCAAACTAATCAACCTTGAAAAATATAGCCCTGCTTCCCCACACCCTCTCCTCGTCAGAGACACAGGAATATATTAAATCCGATACTGCCGATACATCTATAAAAAAATTCCGAGCAGGATCTTTGCATCCACCACCCTACGATTTTCAATAGTTTTATTAACTTTGATTTTTCTCTTCTTTTCTCCATTTGATAGAAAGTCTTGTCAACAGTAAATGTCTGTACGTCAACACACAAGTAACTACAATCTATAACCTGATAATGGATCTTAGAATCAAGGTGTGTCATTCGTTGTAACAAGTCCCTATCAAGGCAATAGTTAAGAGTGGGATTTTACAGCATATTAAACCAGGGACTGATATAAATCGGAATCAATTCCTGTTAAAATTGAAATTTTCATGTGTGGAAATACTTGTATTGTCCACAGCCCTACAATTTACATTGGTTCTATGTTCTATTTTCCCCCTCTTTCTCTATTTGATAGATAGTCTTGTCAACAGTAAATGCATCTCCTATAACTTTTGATTAAAACTTCACTGGGTTTGACAGTGTTCTTTCAAATTAACTAAAACTGAAACTATAACTGAAAAAAGATAGAAATTTTCCAAGAAAACTGTCTGTAAATAATGGATATCAAATTATTGACATAGAACAAGCTTAACAACACAAGTTTTCACTTTAAATAATTTTACAGAAAGGAATAAGCTACCAAACAACATCTTGAATTTTTATGCAAACTGCACTATCACTAATTATCAGGGAGAAGCGCAAGAAGTGATGAAACAGCCAAGACAAACATGCAGAATCATTGTACTTAAACATCTGGACCACATCACATACAAAACAAGGCTTAAAATCCTCTAGGCAAATAATCAAGTTTTGTTTATCTGTGTTTTACGTCCAATTAACAGCTAGGGTCATTTAAGGATGTGCCAGGTTTTGGTGGTGGAGGAAAGCCAGATTTCCCAAAGAAAAACCACCGACCTACGGTCAGTACCTGGCGACTGACCAGAGTAGGACTCGAACCCGCGACCCAGTGGTGGAGGGCGAGTGGTAGCAGAATGTCAGACGCCTTAACCATTGCAGCCCCTAAATCAAATGAAATATTATCCGACAGATAGATGGACGGAGTGCACACCTATATTTCTTTTTTATTTGTCTAGATGGTATTATTATGTATTTGATACTGATTTTTTCGGCATGACTATAGCTTGGATAAAGCATTTTTGAAAAGAAAACCATACCCTGCAGGACTTTTAGAAAAAAAATAACCAAGGTGAAATAAACAAAATATAATCAACAACAGTTTCCGAGTGTAAACAAATCAGTGGCAATAGACCAGGATTCAAACCCTTGACTTCTGATCGTTTTTACTCTCACTGTAACAGACTGAGCTACGGAAGGATCCTGGTCCAACTGTACTAGTTATAACCAAATCAAAACTAAGGGGAGGTTACTGTACATCTGTGCCACGCTTTGACCATCAATGCAATCTATGGTGCAAGTTCGGATGGTCTAGCACTTATACTTTCAGTGAAACTAACTTACACACAAAAACTTAATGTTAATGGAGATGCTGACAAAGTCAATGGACCATGACAGGTAGGCTGCATCCAGCATTTGATGCATGGGTTGAGATGTACCACCAAAGATGCATTTATGGTCCAGGTTTGGTTGGTCTAGCACTTATATAAACTATAGACGCAAAAACTCAATGTCGACGCAAGAAAAGCAACACCTAAGTCTCGCTACCACTACTCCGTGGCGGCGAGACAAAAACCAGAGTTCAGTGGGAAAGGGATTCTTAAGATTCTATGATACAGTTTATAATGAAAATGTATGTCCATGTAATCTTGAACTGATTTCTCTAAGCTGTAAAAAAGCTTCTGTGAATGCATGCAGCAACAGTACTACTAAATCACAAATCAGGAGAAATCATACAATAAATCAGGACACAGTTTTACTCAGCATCCCACATAGAAACCACTTTACCTTTCCATCGGCTGCTTTGTATAATCCAGAATTGAAAACAAAATTGATCAACATTGTCTTAATTAATAAACACAAAAATATTATATACTGATCAAAATGTTGACAATTCTGAAATACATCAGTAACTTGAACTGAACTGAACCATCTATACGAAATTATTGATTAATTTGTGTTTCTCCCTAAAAACTTCCGAGTGACATTTTCAAAGTAATCTTTTCAAATAAAAGAGTGATGAATTATCAATAATCTAGTAACTTTTTATACTTACACTTCACAATATTTGAGATATAGTTTCAAAATGTCAAGTGTATATTGAATTCATAAAAAGTTTAATTATAACACAAAGGCCCAATGGACCTGTACCATTCACCTGTTACACATCTTGCATTAATGGCCGTCAAAGAGGGACCAAGTCCAACAAACTAAAACACGCTACAGTTACTTTACACCTTACAGTTCTTTGAGGATTTTACTGTCTGATACTCCAAAACCTTTTCAATTTTCTTAAGAAGTTACTGTAATAATCTGACCTTCAACGATAGTCTAGGTTATTCACTCAGATCCAACACTTAAAAGCTACAGGCCAAATATATGCCTTGGTCTCTAGGTTATTATAGTGGTAAACTGTTTAAAAGTTTGAACACATTGACCTCTGTGGCCTTGAAAATATGTCTTGGTCATTCACTGGAACAAACTTGATAAACATCTAACAAGTATGCTACAGGCCAAATATCATCACCCTAGACCTATTGGTTATTCATACGAAGCTGTTTCAAATTTCTCTATACATTAGTCCCATGTGACCTCGAAAAGAGGCGAGTCATATATTTGAACAAATTTGATAATTTGCTTTTTTTGTCGGGCTCAATCCCAGGAAGCTACCGGCCTAATAAATGGCCTCTCTGACTTTCAGTTCTTCAGCAGGAGTTGTTTGAAATTTTGACATATTTGACCACTGTGACATTGAATATTAACAAGTCTTTTATGTTTGCAAACTATGTCAAGGTCCACCCTAGGATGCTTCCATCTATGCATCGTAACTCTAGGCATTTCCTTTCTTTAGCAGAAGTTGTTTAAAGGAATAGTTGACGGGCGACAGAGGCCCCACCACAGCAAAAGCTCACTTGCTCTTCAGACAGGTGAGCTCACGAACATTTTGTGATCTTACCTCCTTTTGAACCTTGTCCTTGAGGTCGTATGGAAAAATACAGTCATTTGGCTTGCCGAGAGCTGAAATGATAGTTTTACGATTTTCATTGCATAGTAGTGGTAATCTTTCTTAAAAACACTATGTAGTGTAATGCTGCCCAACTTGTAATGATCAACTTTTAAAATTATGTTGAATAAATCGACATAAAAACAGAAATTGCGTAAATAAAATTAAACCTATTCAGGGTTAAACATCAAGGCCAAACATAAAAATATTTGGTGCTTCCGGTAAACCTAGGCCAAACAAAACAAGAGGCCCAATGGGCCTGCATCGCTCACCTGGTATAAAATTCACACTTGTAACCTTAAAAGTGATCTAAAATAAAGCTACAGGCAAAATATCAGTATTTATGATTAAAATTCGTTCAAAAGACCGTTATTTTTTTTTAAAACATTTCACCCCTGTGATTGAAAGTCGAACAAAGTCATTATGTTGAACACATTGTATAGCCTTTCATCTCAGGATGCAACTTGCAAAGTATAAACATCCTGGGACCCATGGTTATTCATAAGAGGTTGTTTAAAGATTTTAAACAAATTTGACCCCTGTGACCTTGAATATAAGTCAAAGTCATTCACTTTAACAAACATAGTAGTCCTTGATCCCAGCATATGCTACTAACTAAATATCAACATCCTGAGCCTTTTGGTTATTCAGAACAAGTTGTTGAAATATTTTAAACATATTTGCTCCTTGTGACCTTGAATATGATTCAAGGTCATACATTTAAACAAACTTGGTAGCCCTTGATCCTAGTATGCTACTGACTAAATATCATCACCCAGGGCATTTTGGTTATTCAGAAGAAGTTGTTTAAAGTTTTTAACATATTTGACCCCTGTGACCTTGAATATGGGTGAAGGTCATTCATTTGAACAAACTTTGTAGCCCTTCATCTCAGCATGCTACTGGCCAAATATCATCACCCTGGGCATTTTGGTTATTCAGAAGAAGTTATTTAAAGGTTTTTTAAGACAATTGACCCCTGTGACCTTGAATATAATTGAAGGTCATTCATTTGAACAAACTTGGTAGCCCTTCACCCTAGCATGCTACTGACCAAATATCATCTCCCTGGGCAGTTTGGTTATTGAGAAGAAGTTGTTTAAAGTTTTTAACATATTTGACCCCTGTGACCTTGAAAATAGATGAAGGTCATTTATTTGAACAAACTTGGTAGCCCTTCATCCCAGTTTGCTTCTGGCCAAATATCATCACCCTAGGCCTTTCGGTTATTAAGAAGAAGTTGTTTAAAGTAAAATATTGACGCCGGACGACGCACCACGGCATAAGCTCACTTGGCACTTCGTGCCAGGTGAGCTAAAAATACGACCCTAATTTTTTGTGCCTACCCTAAACTTTTGACGGCAAATTTCAAAGAAGCACAGTCAAACTTTTGTTACCTATCTAACTACCCTAAATTTTCCAACATGTTACAGGAAACATGTATTTTTTTGTCTGGCCTAACTATATTTTTATTGGTAGTTTATTAGTCCTACAACAATGTTACTTGTCCAAGATTTCCATATGGAAACATCTCCAACACAAAACATAAAAGTAATTTACTGTATGGGACATAAAATAATTACTGCCATGAAGACATAGTGAAGTTCTAGGAAAATCTGACAGTTGTCATGCAGTAGGCCTATACCTGTATTTTTAGCAGGTTTACAAAAGATATTTTAAAACCTATCCATAATATGATATTGTGATAACATATTTGTTCACAGGTCGGAAAGAGCAGAGTAGTTTGGTGATTCACTAGTCCTTGAAGAAATCTACTAATCTCGGACTGGAGGATTAGTTAAGTGTCAAACCCTGCTATTGAAATGATACGCTGAAAATCTGTTGTGAATGACTCAGCATCAATTCCTGACTCCTTCCTATTCAGCTTGTTTAGATGGGTATAGATTCCATTACTTTAACCACAGGTGATACATTATATTTTTGTTATTTGCATAACTGAACTTTCATCACTTGCATCAATTGAATTTGATGTTGCCTAATCAGGTAATATCTGTTTAACTCATTCACTCCTGAAATTTCATAATGAACT